TGCAAAATCGTTATGAAAACAAGTGACGAGATAGGAAGTGACTGTCAATAGCGAAACCAGTGACAACGACCAACTTGTTTACAATTAGCAGACTAGCCACTGCAATGGCTAGGCATCGAACAACTTTTTAAAAACTAATTTCTCATGACTTACCCGACGTTGACTTTGACCATTCATATATCTTCTTGACTAGAGTCAGCTGAACGAGTCTGCCGACAGAATACATCGACGTTAGCAGGACTACATACAGTGTCAGCTGAAGTCCCCGCTGAGCAGGCGGAGCCTCATCATGACCGCGACTCGTTACACATGTGTCAGGCACTGTCACAGATTCTGCTCAATTTGGATCAGTGTGGAAAAACGTGTTGACTTTTTTTGTGAAAGTCTTTTTGTGAAACAAATCTTCTAAGTGAACGATTCGTCGAAAGAACGATTCGCATTGAAAGCACGTCCCTGCTTTCATGCCTTTAATGACGGACTGAAGCGCGAGCCAATAGCATTCGAGTGCGGGCTGTGAAGCAGCATTTCATTTGTTGGATTTCTGAACGAACACGCCCCCTTCACTGAATAAATGAGTTTCGGTTCAGAAGTTAAAGGGGTCATATGATGCGATTTCAATTTTTCCTTTCTCTTTGGAGTGTTACAAGCTCTTGGTGCATAAAGAAGATCTGTAAAGTTGCAAAGACTAAAGTCTCAAATCCAAAGAGATATTCTTTATAAAAGTTAAGAGTCAGCCACGCCTACCTAAAACGGCTTGTTCTAACACGCCCCCACATACCTACATCACTATGTGGGAAGATTTGCATAACGCCGCCCAAATGTTCACGCAAAGAAAGAAGGCGTAACTTTTATTCTCGCTGTAGTATTGTTGCTGCCGCCATGTCGTAAAAGCACTGTGTGATTCGTTGTGAAAGCAAAACTATTTTGTGTGGCCTTCCAAAAGAGGATGATATCTGCTTCGTCATGCCTAGAGCTGATCCTTGCTGGTCGCTGAGGAAATACAACAACTTTGCGCTGTGGATCGCCGGATCGGCTTTCAGCGTGGACGAAGCGGAGTCCAGCCCGGGGTCGTCACATGTGGTTGCCGCAAGCCCACCGGACACTCCTTCGTCGAATCCGCCACCTCTGCTCACTCTAACCCTCCGGCCATTCCTCACTTTAGCCCCCGGCCTCTGCTCACTCTAGCCCTCTGGCTGTTCCTCACTTTAGTGACGCCGTGTTTCGTTGTGAAAGCGAAACTACTTTGTTTGGTCTTCCAAAAATGGACATGACTAGAAATCAGTGGTTAAGTTGTATTTACAACACTGTTCCAGAACACTTCAACCCAAATATTCAGATGTGTGAAGCACATTTTATGGAGGACTGTTTCCTGGTTTCAAATGCCGGCTGTTCTGACTCAAAGACTGTAAGTACGTTTTTTATATTTAAAGAGTTTTTATATTTTATATATTTAAAGCGAGTTTTGTAGGGAAATGTGTTAAGAGTATAGCTTGTTGTTTGTCATTTCTCCGATCACAAATGCAGATATGGTTTTATGTTTACACGGCGCGATGCAACGCGTAAAAAGACAGTATAAGTCATTATAATCCATAATTATGTCCCCACTGGATGCAACGAATGCCTCGTTTTTAATGGGTTTTCATGATTTTGAATCATTGCTCCGGCCTGACACGGCAGCACAGTATGGGAAGGGGCGTAACATTTCCGTCACATGCTTGAGGTATTCGGCCAATCACAACACACTGGATAGCTGGCCAATCACAGCACACCTCGCTTTTTTAGAAGGATGAGCTTTGTTTCAATGCATTTCAGAAAGGTGGGGCATTGAGGAGAAACAATAATGTACAGTATGTGGAAAATAATGTGTTTTTTGAAACTTAAACCGCATAAACACATTTCATTACACCAAATACACAAAATAATGTTCTTTTTAGCAACATCATATGACCCCTTTTTTAAGAATCTTGTTCAATGAATTAAGTAAACAATCAAACGTGATGGAATGAGATCCAGGGCCAGGCAGAAGAGTAATGACAGATCAATTTTAAAACAAGGAATATTAAATGTATTAAATAAAACTTAGTGATACAATAAAGTAAATAAACAAAATTAAGATTGTATTCAATAATTTGTACTAAAGCAGAGTATTCCAAATTTTTATATCTAAGGGATGAAGTAGGCCTAGTGAATATTAGAAGAAGAGCCCTAAATAGCTATAAGCAGAATGCGAGCAGAGGGGAAAAGCAGAGTAAAGAGCAAAAGAGTAAAGAATCAGAGTAGGCACAAGTATTATATATGCAGGAAACCTACATCCTCCCAAACTGGTGTTTATGTCTAATAAGAAAAGGTCAAACAGACTTATCCATTATGTCACTCATCCATTGTTTCATATGTTTTCCTAATGACTATAGGTTAGGTTAGGCTCAGTCATCGCGACCAGTCAAATGTTGTTGCGGTTAAATATAGACATGGTTTTCACACCTTTAGAACAAATACAGCAAAACAAGCAGTTTCAAGTATCATATCTTAAATTACAAAAACACAGTTTCTGGAAAAGAACATCTAGCAGCCTACTGTTAACGACTAATTCTGAGAAACATTATTACTTAGGCAGTTGTTGAAAGATGTTCAATATCTAACAAAACACCAGTAAAAAAAAAATATATATATATCTTTCATACATATATAAAATGAGTATAACATACATATTTTGGAGAATACTACAAATATTACATATGAACAAAAAACTAAATAAAATATAAACATAAATGAGTAACAGTAATGAATTAGTAATTACTTGAATGTGAATATATGATGATGATGATTAAAATAAGGAGCATAACTCAAGAAGTAATAAATCATAAATGAATGGATATGAAAATCAAGGAAAAATATAACAACACTGATTATTTGGATACACCAAAATGAGAAGATTTTCGCGAACAATTAAAATATTTTATGACTCTCTGAATTCAATTACTATAGAAATAAGAAGTGTATAAAAACATCACTTTTGATGAAAGAAATCATTTATAGAATTTAACACGTTCATGTAGTAAGATCTGACGTCTATGCATTGTATGTTCTTTGAAAGTTTAATAATAATAATAACAATAAAGGACTTTAAAGTCCACTATATGGAGCAAAATCCTGGAATGTTTTCCTCAAAAACCTTAATTTCTTTTCAACTGAAGAAAGAAAAAAAGAAAGAAAGAAAGACATGTACATCTTGGATGACATGGGGTGAGTAAATTATCAGGAAATTTTTATAGTGAACTAATCCTTTAAGGATGTATGATTTATAACTGATTTAATGGAACCTATTGAATCATTCACCTAGATGCTGACTCGCGGTGGAATAAACCATCTACATTTGAAGAATGGGACGAAAGTTTCTTTTGCTACAGAGGTCCAGAGTTTGGTTGGAGTACATTCATCTCACACGAGCAGCTTCACAAGAGGGACTTCCTCAAGAATGATGACCTGATCATCACTGTTCATTTTGATGGTGAGAATCTTTTTGAAAGGAGATGCCAGAAAATCTGAATATTTTCATGTGAAACTGTTTTACCCATCCCCATAATTAGCAATGTATACAGCTCTTGTAATAAATATATTTGGTAATTGTTAAAAGTGTGTTCTTTTAAAGTGTGTTCGACCAGATTTGGCACATCTTTTAAAATCAGAAGTTCCAATCAAAGCTGACTTCTCAAGTGACCCACAAACTGTAGAAGAAGGCTATTACAGACCAAATGTCCGGCAGCCACGAGCGATCAGCGACCCATGTCAGCCAAACCCCTGCCGGCTTTTGCTACAGAGGTCCAGAGTTTGGTTGGAGTACATTCATCTCACACGAGCAGCTTCACAAGAGGGACTTCCTCAAGAATGATGACCTGATCATCACTGTTAATTTTGATGGTGAGAAGCTTTTTGAAAGGAGATGCCAGAAAATCTGAATATTTTCATGTGAAACTGTTTTACCCATCCCCATAATTAGCAATGTATACAGCTCTTGTAATAAATATATTTGGTAATTGTTAAAAGTGTGTTCTTTTAAAGTGTGTTCGACCAGATTTGGCACATCTTTTAAAATCAGAAGTTCCAATCAAAGCTGACTTCTCAAGTGACCCACAAACTGTAGAAGAAGGCTATTACAGACCAAATGTCCGGCAGCCACGAGCGATCAGCGACCCATGTCAGCCAAACCCCTGCCGTAATGGAGGAGCATGTGTTGCAACTTGCAGGTTAGTGCACCTAAATCTGACCATTATCTGAGCTTATTTCAAAATAAAACACAATTTGTTGTTTAAGAAGTGTGTCCCACTTGTGCCAAACAGTTCCACTGTAGCAACCCCTAACAGGAGCAGCTGAAGGAGAAAGACAGAGTTTGTTGTTTTTTAATAAAAAAACAACAAAATGGCTTATATGGTGACAGTTATATGCCTTCTGCAGGTGTGTCTCTGGACAGGCCATTGTGTACACAGGAGACACCTGTGAGAATCAGCACATTGATGGAAGAATTCTGGGAGTTCTGATCGGTGGTGCTGCAGGAGCTATAGCTCTTACTGTTGCCATTATTGCTTGAGGAGCATGTGTTGCAACTTGCAGGTTAGTGCACCTAAATCTGACCATTATCTGAGCTTATTTCAAAATAAAACACAATTAGTTGTTTAAGAAGTGTGTCCCACTTGTGCCAAACAGTTCCACTGTGGCAACCCCTAACAGGAGCAGCTGAAGGAGAAAGACAGAGTTTGTTGTTTTTTAATAAAAAAACAACAAAATGGCTTATATGGTGACAGTTATATGCCTTCTGCAGGTGTGTCTCTGGACAGGCCATTGTGTACACAGGAGACACCTGTGAGAATCAGCACATTGATGGAAGAATTCTGGGAGTTCTGATCGGTGGTGCTGCAGGAGCTATAGCTCTTACTGTTGCCATTATTGCTGTGATCTACAGGCAGAACTAAACCATCATATTTGACATCTGAATAACATAACTGTTTGATAAGCAACGTATTTTATTAATTAATCATCTTACAATAAACATCTTTATTAACAATCTCATCTCTCTATTTTCCATATCCCTTTAAAAGAAACAAGGAAATAGGTCTAACAAGAGAAAAAAACAAAAAATAAATATTTGTCAATCTGAAGAAGAGTGCTTAAGATGTGTTAAATTAACTTTGGTTCTTCAGATATTTTGTCAGAAGTACTAAATAGTGCATAGAAGTTGATGCCATAGGTCTTTATGTTTTGCAAAATAGAAGCAGAGCTAAAACTAATCAGCTTACAACCAAGGTAGGTGACCACTTTTTACATTGCATGTAGAGAGAGTGTTAAATAAAAGACAACAACAATCAGGGTAGAAAACTACAGATAATTGCTACATATATACAGCAGCACTTATATTGTTCTTTTAAAAACACAAACTTGAACATCTATTATATTTTTTGTATCTGTTTCTCACTGTTTGTTCCTAATTTTATGTAGTAAATAAAAAGGGATGACCACAGCCTATACTTTGTTCCAAAGATGTTAAGTCTTTTAAAGTACAAGAAGTACTTTTAGGTCTTCACCAAACAGTTGCGCTCCCTCTTCTATTTTTGTTGCTGCTGTGGGTTCAGAGGTGGATCAATGTCCTATAATTTTTTACATGTTCCTTCTGCAATACAAATCGGAAACAGAAAATGTATTAAAGAAATTTCCTAAGAATTTTTATTGTCTTCTGAAGAGCTGCCTTTGAAGTTGTTTAATGAACACTGACTCTGTTATGGAAGTGAATATTGAATTGAACTGAATCAACATTTGAACTAAACTGGGCTAAATAACGACACTGTCATCTTTTGTAGAGCTGCTATACAGCTGGAATGGAAGTGCTTTTTTCCTGTTTATTACCGTGAAGCTGCTTTGAAACTACCTGCATTGCATCAAGCACTATATAAATAAATGTGGCTTGACAAAAAAAAAGAAATTAAGGTATATCCAAACACGTACCTTGTGTGCATTTATTTACATGGATCATTTATTTTGTGGTTGTTACTGTTCCTTGATCTTTTCCTGATTTCTGGTGGAAGGAAATCATAATTTTCTATTTTTAAATATGTTTTTTTTTTAGCTTAATTCAAATAATTTTAACATATTGTGAAATTAAGAAATGTATGTGTTTCCCAGAACTTACCCCTAGAACTATTTTCAATATTTCATCTCGGACCTGAAGAAAAAAACAAGAAACATGTCAGTGTCCTGTGGTACTAATTATACAAAAAAAAAATAATAATAAATACTAATGTCAATATCAGTGCATACCCTTTTTTCTGCAAAACATCCTGTCAACAAGATGAAGAAGCCCTGGAAGTATAGATGATACAGAGGAATCAGGTATAAATAATTACTAGTTAATAATTTGCATGGAGAGACTGGTTAATACCTGCAGGGAGTTGACAATGGTGAATGCGTAATGCACTACGAATGTAATAAACTGTGTAAAGTCATCCATCAGAAACACAAAAAGCCCCAGAACCCAAGTCCCACCAAAAACAGGCGTGAGAAAGATAACCACTTTGATTATGCTTTTCATAGCTTCTTTGTCTCCCTTTTTGTTGCTCTCAGCTCCAGATGGCTTTAAAACTGTTGCAATGACCACCATCATGGAAAACATGTTCACCAGAATGATGGTCCCGACTGGGAAGAGAAACGCGTGGATGGATCCCTGCATTGCTGACTGATAGGTAAGCCAGCAAGTTTTGGAGCTGTAGTACGGAATGTCACTTGCTTGGTCATAGTACACGTATGTAACAGCCACAGTCACTGTCGGACAAACATAGCCAATGGTAAATCCGAGGATCATGTACGCCTTTTTCCCAATGTGGCTAAAGACGAAAATGAGCTGGTGGACCAACATGACGCTCAGACACAGCATCCAAAAGAACATTGCAAGGAAGAAGTAATGCTTCGCCACCACCAAAACAAGGCACAAGGTTTCATTTAGGACTGATGGGAAGGCGGAAGCTAAGAAGCTGCAGTCGGCCAAAAGCAGACACAGAGAGATGTTGAGGAGAGCAGTGTGCCGGAAGTGGGAGAGGTTGGATTTGACTACGGTGCTCCAGACCAAACACTCGATGATGATGTAGACGATGAGAGAGCATATGGAGACTCCCAGTCCGATGTACGTGAGCTGATCTAGAAAAGGCATGCTTACTGCATGCTTAGACATGAGCATGGAGAAGGAGGTGAGATGGTTGCATTCACAGTATGCAAGGTTTCCGGGGCCTTTAACGAACTCGCAGCCCTCATCTGACCATCTTTGCTCAGTGACGTTCCAGAACACGCAGGTCATTGTGCTGCCCTGTTCATTTGGAAAAGCCAGTTTGATGTTCACCGATGACTGAGTGTTGTTCTCAACTGTGCTGGATACGACTATGCTAGGAAACGATGCATGCTCGTAGCCCAGTTTTGGCAGGCGGTTGGCCAAGCTCTGCAATCCTACTGTTTTCACCATATCTGCTGTGGCATTCAGCTCAACGTCCACGTTGAAAACGGTTCTGTTGCAAGTGCTGCCACTTCGGCAGATCTGAAGCTGAATGTTTGAGGAGTTGTAGCCCTCACTAGCATTTATTCGGATGCTTTTCACAAGGCCTTCTACGGATGACAGATATTGTGTAGCCAGTGAACTGCTCTCTTCCTTGTCTCCCACTTCCCAGGTTACGTTCAACATGCTGCTAGCGGAGTCGATGAAATCCTATAAGAGAACAGATTTTTTTCAAAATGTGCAAAAATGTTAAAGTATATGGCCATTTTGACAATGTTAGAGCCTGAGTTCCATAGTGAAATTATATTGATGTAATATACTGTGTGCACATTATATATATATATATATATATATATATATATATATATATATATATATATAAATAAATATATATATATATATATACTGTATATATATACTGTATATATATATACAGTCATGCGAATGTATTCATTTTTTTCATGTTTTGTTAAGTTGCTGCCTTATGTTAAATTGTAACATCTTCGCAAAAAAATTTATTAAAAATGATTCCATTGAATAAGTATTAAAACCCTTATCTGGGACAGTTGAAATGTAGCTCAGGAGCATTCATATTGCTTGTAGATGTTACTACACTTTAAGTGACGTTAACATGTGGCAAATTCAATTGAATGGGTATGATTTGGGACGGCACACACATTTTAATAAAAGGTCTAACAGCTGATAATGCATATCAGAGCAAAAACCAAACCCTGAGGTCAAAAGAACTGCCTGTAGAGCTCAGAGACAGGTTTGCGTCAAGCCACACATCTGGGGAAGAGTTCAGAAAAAATTCTGCTTCATTGAAGGTTCACAGAATCATGTAGCCTTCATTATCCATAATGGAAGATGATTGAAACAACTAGAACTCTTCCTAGAGTTGGCCTCCTGGCCAAACTGAGCAACTGATGGAGAAGGGCTTTGGTTAGTGTGGTGACCAAGATGCTGATGGTCCCTCTAGTTGAGCTCCATGATCATATATGCAGATGGTAAAAAAATCAACAGAAGGACAAACATCACTGCAACACTCCACCGATCTGGGCTTTATGTCGGTGTGGCTGGACTCAATCTTCTCCTCAGTGAAGACACCTAAAGGACCCTCAGACTGTGAAAAACAATATTCTCTGGTTTGATGATCCTCAATTCCAAGTATCATGTTTGAAGGAAACCAGCTCTGCTCATCACCTGCAGAGTACCATCCCAAAAGTAAAGTGTGCTGGTAGCAGCCTCATGCTGTGGGGCTGTTTTTCAGCGGCAGGTACTGAGGAACTCGTCAGAGTAGAAGAAAAGCTCAGTGCACCAAAATATAGAGATAGCCTTAATGAAAACCCAGTCCAGAGCATTCAGAACCTCAGACTGGGCAGAAGGTTCACCTTCCAACAGGACAATGAACCTATGCATACAGCAAGAGTGGCTTATAGACAACTCCTTGTCCTTGAGTGGCCCAGACAGAGCCTGGCCTTGAACCCAATCAAATATTTCTGAAGAAACCTGAAAATCTGCCCCCATCCAACCTGACAGAGCTTGAGAGGTGAAGATTTGAGGAGAAGAATGGCAGATAATTGCCAAATGATGATGTGCAAAGCTTGTCACATAATACCCAAAAAGACTTGAGGCTGTAAAAGTGCTTCAGCTGAGTAATGAGTTAATACTCATGCAATGTACTTCTTTCAGTTTTTTATTTTTAATAAATGTACAAGTTGTGACAGTTCTTTTTTTTGCTTTGTCATTATGGTGTATGGAGTGTAGATTGATGTGTGAAAAAAAGTAATTTAAAGCAGTTTAACATAAGGCTGCAACATAACAAAACGTGAAATAAATGAAGGGTATGAATACTTTCGCAAGGCATTGTATATATATATATATAAACTTGAATAAAAAAATTTTTTTGAATTATTTCATTATATATAATACTAATAAATAATGTATGCATGTTTGGGTGTGTGTATATGTATCAAAAGTGAGTGAAGTGCTTGAAATGCTTACTGCAAGAAGGTTCTCGCCTAGTGCCATGTTTACTGATGCCTTGTTCATAGTTTCGAAAACAGAAACTGCAGTCTTGACGTCACCAAAAGTGTTTTCACCCTCTTCAGATGTGTTATTTTTCAAGCTCTGAAAAATAAACTGAGCGCCTTCTTGTGTTGCTCCAAGTCCTTTTTCAAAATCCTGGAGAGAGATAAAAATGAGACATTTCCACATAAAAGGAACAGTTCAGATGCCATAGTTATGTCTTCAAGGTTTTAAGTCACTCAGCATCAGTCACCTCTTCTAGATTTGCATACCTTTGCTTGCAAAGCTACACTATTCAGAACTGCTTTAACACACAGAGAGAGTTCTTCCCCCCATTTTTTTCCAATGCATTTGCGTTTCATTAAGCCCTGTCTCCCTGTTTCAGTACAATCTATAATGGCTGTTTCATTATTCTTTGTTTTTGGCCATTTTCTCTCTTCAATTTCTTCCTCTGCACAAAACAGGTCACTGGCTATAAGAACAAACAAACAAACAAACAATCAAATGCATCATCCAAACATTCGTTTTTTACTTTACCAGTCACCAAAGGGTTTTGTACAATAGTACTTTTGCATTAGTAGAGAGTGCTTACGGTAAATGATTGGTACTCTTAGTGTGCGATTTCGCAGCTGATTCAAGGAGTTCTCTAAAGTGCAGCTGACCTCAAGTGAACTTGGTTTGCCTTCTGCCACACAATCAACAGGGAATTCTGCTGTATACTTGATTATTCCATTGTTCTCTGCAAAAAAAAAAAAAGGTAACATTTTTAACTGTTTTCACTATCTATCTATCTATTTTGTATAATTTAAAACCAGTGTCTTTTTGATTTGTTTTGTTTCTAATGAAATGGCATTCACTCATTTTAAAGTTTGAAATATATCTAACTCCTTTTTGGGGCCACTGCAAGCCACATTTTTGAAGTTTGTACTTCATGAATGAGGATTTTCTTTAGAGTTAAAACATTTTAATAATGCTTGACTTGGAAAATGTTTACATTTGCAATACTTGGTAAATTGCTTGATTACAAAAACGGTCAATTATACTGTATATGTTTATATAAAAATAATATAAACATCGTGTGACTTGCAGACTCAATTGATTATTTGCTTTATAAAGGTAATAAAACGTCAGCTTCACATTGCATCGAAAGAGAGATTTATAAGATAATTATAGCCTTACCTTCTTTAACTGGTGCAATTTCAACAATTCCGAGTTTTAGCATGGCCCTGTAGGTTTCAATACTGTTTTCGATGGAACATAAGATGCTAACTTTGGTGGATGTTGATGCAGAACAATCTGCAGTTTGTGGATTGCTTGTCACATTAATGACCTCTGGCAGAAGTGCAATTTGAATAGGTGCCATGGCCATGTGAGCTATGTTCCCAGTGACAAAAAGGCAGATGTACGTTCCTGGCATATCAAGAAAATGAGAATTGAGAACAAAAGGTCACAGTATCATAAATGGCATCCCGCTTCACTCATATGATTGCATTCAACACACCTGACCAGTATCCATTTGTCTTTAGAAGTGTGATTGTTGAAAGTTCTGTACAAGTATCTGACAGCTGTAATTCACTCCCTGGTCCCAGAGTCAATTCTGCTTCATTATCTCTGAACATCTGCCACACGCACTTGCTCATAGCCTCTATACTGGTACAGTTCAGCTGTTGTCTTGAATTGTAACACACTTTTCCTGTAGGTGCCTCCATGTATACCATGCCTGCAAATGAATATAAAATACTGTGTTAGTAAAAAGATGGGTAGGAATGGCTGGATAGATCACACAAGTGACCAAAAATATTGGTGTGGTTGCAGTGTTTTACCTAGTGACTTGAGACTGAGACTGTAAATGGTTGGATCTGTCAACAGTGTAGAAATTATGCTTTGAACTTTGGGGGTGGCAAACACAGAACTAAGAGAGACTGTGAAGTTGTGAGCGTAGGTATTTGTGCCTGTGTAACTGCGTGACAAAAGAGAAGAAACATGAAGATCTTGGTTACAAATCATTGTAGATCTTATCAAATGAACAAACAATGAAAAAGTATTTCAAGTCTTTATTATTACTTTATTTACATTCGGATAATAAAATAAAAATGTAAGATAAAAATGATAAGAAAAATATCTTACAGGCTGCCTTGCATAGTCAGTGAGTTGAAGGCATTTAGCACATTAAAAGCACTCTGCAGCTGAAAAGCAAATGTGTGAAGATGATGAGTAAGAGTTTTGTTATAACTGAATAAATAACTGCTCTGTAATTTTAGTTACGTATTTTTTTCAGTTCAGTAATAGGCTACTATATTTCTTTATTAGGTGGCTCTCTCGAATAAGTGATTCTGTTTAGTTAATAACGCAGCCTAGTGGTCTGCTCATCACTTAAAGGGATAGTTCACCCAAAAATGAAAATTCTGTCATTAATTACTCACCCTAAAGTCGTTCAAAACCCCTAAGACCACCGCGTGACGCAGCTGACACAGAATAGCATACGCTGTTTACGTTCAGTGGATATTCTCCAAAATGGAGACGAATGGTTGCATAAAGTCGTTATTTTTGTTTTCTTCGCGTACAAAAAGTATGCTTCGTAAAATTAAGGTTGAACCCCTGAAGTCACATGGATTATTTTACTGATCTCCTTGCCATGTTTCTGGACGTTGATCGTGGTAATTACATTGCTGTCTATGGGAGGGTCAGAGAGCTCTCAGAATTCATCAACAATATCTTAATTTGTGTTCCGAAGATGAACGAAGGTCTAACGGGTTTAGAACGACATGAGGGTGAGTAATTAATGACAGAATTTTCATTTTTGGGTGAACTAACCCTTTAAGACCCGCGCTATTTTCAAGTCTTTCATATGGAACTTACTCTTAGTTTTTTTTTACTTACTTTTTTTTTCAAATGCTGCTGGCACCACCTTGTGTCTCAGTTATCGATTGTATTGAAAATGGCTTCAAAAAACATTAGCTACTGTTCTATTTAAGCAATATGAGAAACAAAGCTTTTCGAATCTTCGCAAAGTGAATCAACATCTAACAACGCAGGCTGGCGCCACCTGCTTGTCAACACCGTGTAAATGCAACGAAAACTCAGCTTAAACATGTGTAATAACATCTTTTTACAAACCTATTGCAATTGTTTTCACGAAAGAGTATCTATTAAATATTATATACAAATAATTAAACACTATTAAAAATAAAATGTGTTTTTTTTCATATGCTTATGAAGTGCTTGTTTGTGTTATTGAGCAGCGCTTGGCAGGGATGTGGGGGGAAGGTCAGAAGAATGAATCCAAGGGCCCAACGAGAGCGGGGGGCCCCTAACGCGATGTCTCCGTTCAAAACTGTATGACGTAGCCAAGCCTTGTTTGCTGAAATCACGTGATGCTACAAACTCCGAACCACTGATTCGATATAAAAGATTTGTAAATGTTTTGTGGCTTCACGAAAAAGGTCGAATTATTAACTAATTTAATCACAAATCAATATTTAATGTAAATGTCTATATTTATTTGATGAGTGGCCGTGCAATAAACGTGTGTCAGTCTATATCGCAAAATGGGGGTTTATTTGGCTATAATCACCGACTGACTGTACATTATCCCTTATATAGTTAATATTACACTATGCATTTCTGCAGCTGCTTACAGATAGGCTACTGCATTTTAGAACGAGTAATAATTGAGCAAATAAGGAGATCCACACCTACCATGTTTTGGACCGTTAAGGAGCTCCCAGTGAGTACACCAATAAGTGAAACTGTATAAGGTTCACAGAGGGAAACAATCATAAATGTTGTCCAGAATTGCACATGTGATGTCTGACTTTTACTCCAATTTGATATATTTTGACAACTTACCGTTCACTTTTGGCAGACACAGAGGTGTGTAGTATGAAATATTTGCCACACATTTGTCCACATTGCAGCATTTATTTACATTGTCACACACAAGATTGCTCCAAACATAGTCTGGTCCACACCAGCATGTTGAATTTTGGCCAATTATCTCACACTCTATAACAAAATACATAATCATAATGACTTATCATACTTTTGCTGTTTTAAAATGTAATCTGGCATTATTTTTTTATGTTTATTAATGTCAAAACTAAATATTTTTATATACATATAGAATTGTGAATTAAAACAATTAAATCAACATCAGAAAGAATAACCTATTACTCAAAATCATGGTAGGTTTAACTTACCTGCTGCTATTTCAGCATTTGTGATAGTTACCCCTATTGTATCCAGAACAGTCCCTATAAGTCCAGGCAGATGGACTGCAACATTTAATGTTTTATTCCCCTCAATCATGACCTCTGCCCAATGGGTCACCTCTGTGGAAGCTGAAAACATATACATTGTAAAATTATAAATTTGTTGCATGTTTTATTTGTGTGTGATATAGTGGATTTTAAAACTAGATTTTGGAACGGACAGTGTCTGGTCAAACGAAAACTTACCCACATATGAAGTCTGTTAGGTAACAGAAGAAGAAAACAGTCAGTACTTCTGTTTTTTAGTCATAAACAAATAATCATGTATAACAAAGAGAATGGGATTCTTACAGTATGTATTAGAAAACATACATTAAATACTGTAAATAATAACATTTAAATGAATTTGAAGCATTTAGGTGATGAGTAGTGTTAAATGAATTCAATGGCATGATCATCAGTCAGAGCAGTATATAGTACAGTATGTGGCAGTCAGGCTATTACTATTCATGATTTATATTATTTTAGGATAAAATATTTTTTTATTAAATGTATTGCCTTTATGAACTTACTTGGCTAAAAATGAATAGCGCAGCAAAAAGCAGCATTCCTGCACCAGACAGTGTTTTGATCCTAAGGAGATCACATTTAATTTTTAAAAAGACAGTCACAAACGTAGACCTTTAAGTGAAACCTTTCTCTGAACTTTAGTAAAATTGTATGCCAATTTTCTATTGACAGAAAATCAAATTATTTTTATATTATAATACTATAAACTGGGACACGCCATCTCTCACTTATTAATAAACATCATCAAACCACGAAACTACAAAAACTTTGCCAAAGCTAGATGTTGCCTTTCAAAACACCGGCTAAATAAATTCATATGGGAACACTGAACATAGAAGATATCACATATTAAGAAACAAAATTATGATACATTGTTTGAAGATCAAATATAAAACTAATAAATTCATAAAAATTCATTTGCTGAATTTGAATGACACAATGAGGTTTAAAATGGTTTGGTGAACATATTCTGTGAACACCAAATATATATATATATATATATATATTTTTTTTTTTGTAAGATAAGAGTATATATATATTGTAAGATGAAACTTTTAAGCTTTTTTTAAATAAGAACCTAAATAATCTTATTTGACCGCTTTTCTACAAATATATCAACCAAAGACAAAAAATACTGACCTTACAATCTGCATTTTAAAAGAGAGGATCAGCAAGTTTTAGGCAATGTTATCTGTCATAACAACATGTTCCCTGTGAACCAGTTTCCAGAGTGAAAGGTGGTGCTGAATGAGAATTACAGAAAGTTGACGAATGCAGTGGGGCAGGCAAAAGCTAATTTACAAAGCTCTCTCTCACATTTGCATTTTGCATTCCCAAAGTCCATAGGCCACCTGGATAAGTTAACACACAATAGTCATGGCTTCAGACTTTCCATTGCAATTTGGCTAACAAATGTACCTCAGAGCTGCATGCTTTGTCCAACTATGTTTGGTTAGATTGTCATTTGTGACTGATTTAGATAAATCATTTTCATGTTTAAATCTTGCTGTACTTTTAGAAATAAGACTTTTAGAAGTTCTGCTGTTTTTGAATGTTGAATACCGGGTGGCCTGTGTACGAATTTGTTTCATTTTGAGCTTCTAAATTGTGTTAGAGATAAAGCTAGGCACAATTCAATTTAACTTTTGGTTTATTGACAATCAAGTTTATTTCAAATCAAGTTGATTTGTACAGCGCTTTTCATGATACAAATCATTGCAAAGCAACTTTAGTCTTTAATCTAGATTTAAACAGAGAGAGAGAGTGTGTCTGTACCCCGAACGTTATCAGGAAGGCTATTCCAGAGTTTGGGAGCCAAATGCGAAAAAGCTCTACCTCCTTTAGTGGACTTTTAGTGGACAATAAACTCAAAGTGCCCATTTCAGCCTACTGAAATAAAATCTTACTTCCAATTGGAAAGATTGTATTTACTCTCAGATCAAGGGGAAATAACATTCTCATATATTAACCTTACTATACCTTGTTTGATTTGTTGTTTTAAACCTCCAGTGATGTGGTTATGTTTCCCTGTTAGGGTGACCACTACCGCATCCAGCTCATCTAACCCACATACGACAATGGAAATATGTGGTAACATACCAAGTTTATTCAGCATGAGGTGAAATCACTAAGCCTCATTATTTGGCTGTTGTGGAGAACATGAATATGGACAGTTGCATAATGTTATGAAAAGACAGAATAAAAGTGTATACTGATTATAACATGTACCACTGTTGAAGTGTGTGGTTTTTATTACACACAATTCAAATTTAAATCTAACTGCTGTATTATTTACATCATACATTCTGAGTCCATATAGATTATATAGATTCAAAAGATTTTTTTTCTAATCAAAAAGTTACTGTAAACATGATTACTGTAAGTACTGTTTACAGTACTGTAAACATACATACATTTAGTAGAACATTTAATGAAAGTAAAGGTTTTTAAAAAATATTTATTGTTAGGGAACACACTTGCAAATTAGTGTCTTGTTTTCTTCAAACGTATTTGTTTGTTAAATAAGCATCCATGGAAATGTATCTGTTTTACATGCTCATTCAAAATGACAAAACATGCCCATGAAGGTTAATAATTTCATTCAAGAAACCAAGTAAAACGTAAGCTGGTATTTTGTGGTAATTTGTTTATTTCCTATTATTTTATCCTATTCTATTTATAATATTCAAAGGCGAGGTTGCATTCCATTCAAAGCTGTAACGTGATGAAGCTGAATGAGAATGTCTTCTTTCCTATTTATTCATTTTAATATGGGTCATTTTTTCTGTTTTTATCTTCAGTGTTTACCATAGCAATAGCTTGTATGTTAAAGAAAAAGATTAGAAACAGTGCTTGTACAGCACAAATCAACTTCAGTACTCAGATCATGAGGGAGTGTTTAGAAAAGTTGTTGTTTTTTTGGAAATTTCTCAGGAAGTGCACCAGAGCAACAATATAAACAAACCCACAGCACCACAATTTACATCCTTACCAGTATATTCAGAAATTGACGTCAAACCAGTGACTAATCCAATGATGATCATCTCAAAGTGTTCTCACCAAAATGAAAGGCACACAGCAGACATACAGTATGCAAAATTCAGACTGTGGTCATTCAAATTCAAAATAAAATCAGCTGTGGATTAGGAGTTCCTGTAAAGGAAGTAATTAATAGTACCAATAGAAATAGAAAAATACCAATAGTACTTAATAGCAATTAATATTAACAATAGTAATTCATTCAAATTCTTCACTTAAAATTATTATATAATACTTTAAGAGACTTGCACATTTTGTTCTTCAACATAAATTATACACAGTTGTATTAATAATATATACATCTGGAAAGTATCCGGGGGAAGCACACACCTCAGCGATCTGGGAACTAGGAGA